GTCGCTACGAGGTCGCTCTCCCTGAACTGTGAGCTTTATCATACCTCTGCTTGTGTGTGTGTGTGTGTACTCACCTATTTGTGGTTGCAGGGGTCGATTCATAGCTCCTGGCCCTGCCTCTTCACTCATTACTACTGGGTCCTCTCTCTCTCTGCTCCATGAGCTTTATCAAGCCTGGTCTTAAAACTATGTATGGTTCCGCCTCCACTACATCACTTTCTAGGCTATTCCACTGCCTGACAACTTATGACTGAAGAAATACTTCCTAACATCCCTTTGACTCATCTGAGTCTTCAACATCCAATTGTGACCTCTTGTTTCTGTGTCCCATCTCTGGAACATCCTGTTTTTGTCCACCTTGTCTATTCCACGGAGTATTTTATACATTGTTATCATATCTCCCCTGACCCTCTTGTCCTCCAGTGTCGTCAGGCCGATTTCCCTTAACCTTTCTTCATAGTACAATCCACTTAGTTCTGTGACTAGTCTAGTTGCAAACCTTTGTACTTTCTTTAATTTCTTGACGTGCTTGACCAGGTGTGAGTTCCAAACTGGTGCTGCATACTCCAGTATGGGCCTGATGTACACAGTGTACAATATCTTGAACGATTCCTTACTAAGGTATCAGAATGCTATTCTCAGATTTGCCAGGTGCCCATATGCTGCAGCAGTTATCTGGTTGATGTGTGCCTCCGGAGACGTGCTCGGTGTTATGGTCACCCCAAGATCTTTCTCCTTGAGTGAGGTTTGCAGTCTTTGTTCACCTAGCCTATACTCTGTCTGCGGTCTTCTTTGCCCTTCCCCAATCTTCATGACTTTGCATCTGGCAGGGCTGAATTCAAGAATCCAGTTGCTGGACTACGTGTCCAGCCTGTCCAGGTTTCTTTGTAGTCCTGCCTGATCCTCATCTGATTCAATTCTCATCATTAACTTCACATCATCTGTAAACAGGGACACTTCAGAGTCTATCCCTTCCATCATGTCATTCACATATGCCAAAAAATAGCACTGATCCTAGGACTGAACCCTGTGGGAACCTGCTCGTCACAGGTGCCCACTGTGATACCTCATCACGTACCATGACTCGTTGTTGCCTCCCTGTTAGGTATTCTCTGATCCATTGCAGTGCCCTTCCTGTTATACGCACCTGATCCTCTAGCTTCTGCACTAATCTCTTGTGAGGAACTGTGTCGAAGGCCTTCCTGTAGTCCAGGAAAATGCAATCAACCCACCGCTCTCTCTTGTGTCTTACTACTGTTACTTTGTCATAAAACTTCAGTAGGTTTATGACACAGGATTTGCCTTTCATGAATCTGTGCTGGTTGCCGTTTACAATCTTGTTTTGTTCCAGGTGCTCTACCACTCTCCTCCTGACAATTTTCTCCTGGACTTTGCTTACTATACATGTCAGTGACACTGGTCTGTAGTTTAGTGCCTCATTTCTGTCTCCTTTCTTAAAAATGGGGACTACAATTGCCTACTTCTATGCCTCAGGTAGTTGCCCAGTTTCAAGGGATGTGCTGAAGATTGTGGTTAGTGGCACACACAGCAACCCTGCTCCTTCTCTATGGACCCATGGGGAGATGTTGTCCGGTCCCATCGCCTTTGAGGTATCAAGGTCACTTAGCAGCTTCTGCACCTCCTCCTCAGTTGTGTGTATGTTATCCAACACTTGTTGGTATATTCCTTGTTGGTGTTCCCCTCTGTGCTGTCTTCCCAGAACCCTTCCTATCTCTTCTGTGAATACTTCCTTGAATCTCATGTTGAGGTCCTCACATACCTCTTGATCATTTCTTGTGAGTTCCCCACCTTCTTTCCTCAGCTTGATCATCTGGTCTTTGACTGTTGTCTTCCTCCTAATGTGGCTATACAGCAGTTTCAGGTCAGACTTGATTTTTGATGCTATGTTGTTTTCGTAATGTCGCTGGGCCTCCCTCCTAAACTGTGCATATTCGTTCCTGGCTCTTAGACTAATCTCCTTATTTTCCTGGGTTCTTTGCCTTCTGTATTTTTTCCATTCTCTAGTGCATTTAGTTTTTGCCTCCTACACCTTTGGATAAACCAGGGGCTCGTTCTGGTCTTCCCATTGTTTCTGTTGCCCTTGGGAACAAACCTTTCCTCTGCCTCTTTGCATTTTGTTGTTACGTATTCCAGCATTTAATTTACTGACTTTCCTGCCAATTCTATGTCCCACTGATCCTCCTGCAGGAAGTTCCATATATCTGTGTAGTCCCCCCTTTTTTAGTTTGGCTTTTTCCCATTTAACTCCTGTTACCCTCTCTACTTGTAACTCTACTATGTATTCAAAACACAGAACCATGTGATCATTGGCTCCAAGGGGCCTCTCATATGTGATGTCCTCAATGTCTGAACTGCTCAGGGTGAACATGAGGTCCAGTCTTGCTGGTTCATCCTCCCCTCTCTCTCTGGTAGTGTCCTTAACATGTTGATGCATGAGGCTTTCCAGTATACCACATCCATCATCTTGGCTCTCCATGTTTCGGGGCCCCCATGTGGCTCCAGGTTTTCCCAGTCGATCTCCCTGTGGTTGAAATCGCCCATAGCCAGTAACTTTGCTCTGCTCGAGTGAGCTCTTCTTGCCACCTTGGCCAGTGTGTCCACCATTGCTCTGTTGCTCTCCTCATATTACTCTCTTGGCCTCCTGCAGTTCTGTAGTGGATTATATATCACTGCAATGACTACCTTATGTTCCCCAGACTGGTGTACCTATTATGTAATCCCTTCCTCCAATCTCGTCCATGCCTTCCATTTCCTCAAATCTCCATTGGTTTTTACGAGAAGTGCAACCCCTCCTCCCCCTCTTCTCCTTCTATCTTTCCTCAGGATCTGATATCCTGATGGGAAGATTGCATCTGTTATTGTCTCAGTGAGTTTCGTTTCTGTGACTGCTATGATGTCTGGGGACTTCTCATTGATTCTTTCATGCCACTCCTCATATTTATTCGTTATTCCATCCACGTTTGTGTACCAAACCTTCAACTTCTTTTCTAAAACTGTGATCCTGGGAGAAGATTGGGGTTGAGGGATTGGGAGCCCTGGTAGGGGCCTATGGGGGGTTGCAGTGGGGGTAGGGGGAGAGTTCACATAGGAGGTTGCTGTCAGGGTGGGGTTTGTGGTATGGGAGTGGGGACAGAGGGATCAGTGTGTGAGTGTCGGTTTAGATTGTTCAGTTGCCTTGGGGTTGTCGTGGTTGGAGTCCTTCTGCGGATGTTTCTGGAGGGTGTGTTTGCCCTTCCACCTGCATCTGGGTTCTTCTGTTCATCTTTGTCATTTCCTCTTGTTCCTCCTTTCATTTCTGTATTCTGTTTCAGTATCATCCTTGTGTTCTGTCTTGATCGAAGTACACACTCTGGTACTCTGGTTTGTCTCTCAGTCATGCTTTCTCCTGCAGGATCGTGGTTCGAGTTAATTCTGCCTTAAAAATTACTTTGAGAGGCTGTTTTTGTCCCCTTTCAAACGACCCAATTCTCTGAAAATTTGCCACCTGGGTCATGTCACCCTCACCTATTGCTTTCATGCCGCCTTCAATCACTTTTTCTCCTCCTGTTTTTTTTCATCTTAGGCTTCCCCTTCAACTTCCTGGAGCCCATAGACAAAAACTGGTCTCACTCTTTCGTCCTCCCACTGTGTCTCCCACATGTCCTCTGACGTGTTTTAGCTCCTTCCATTGGAGCGTTCCTTCCTTCAATCCCTTCCCTGGCTGAGGCCCCTATGCTCAGTGGACTGTCTTTCCTGCTCAGCTGTTCCTAGCCCCTGCAGGTGTCTGTTAGAGTCTCTGCATATATCATAGCCCCTTCATTGTCTTCAGACCTCTCATTTGTTCCTAGTGTGCTCCTCGTCTTTGCCTTGGTCCCATGTGGGTCTGATAGGGCCCTCGTATACAGTATAGCTTCTTTGCTCCCACCAGGCCCCTTGTCTGTGCCTGATGCAGAAGTTCCTGATATTATGTCTGTCCCATCTGTATGTATGTGTGTTTATATGTATATATACATGTGTGTCTGTATGTATGTATACATGTGTGTGTTTATATGTATGCATGTGTGTGCATGTATGTATGCATACATGCAGCTGGCATAAGATGTGCAACCCACTCACCAAGGTTAACAGCCACTGCTTTCTATTGACAGTAATAATGACAATGATTCATTAACTTTATCTCCAAAAAATACATTAGGGTTACAATATTAGACCTGAATTTCTTATAAGACAAAGCCCCTAGTTATGCGAAGTGTTTTGGATATACTTAGGCTAAGACTAATATTTTTTTGACTAATATTAAAAGTATCATATATGTATAGTAAATGAAGTACACAATGAACATATAAAATTATATAATACTGTACCTACTACAAATGTTAGCAAAAACTGAACCTTAGGTTTAAGACATTAAATTAAAAAGTTATTCTAAATTGTAACTTAACTTGAAGAGAATTAAAAAACAAATGAGGAAGTAATGAAGTACTATTGGATGGTTATACATAAAAGCTTGATGACAATTTAAGGAGTTAATTAAAAACTGCTTCAGAAAAATATATTACTCACAATTTTTTTTAAGTTTATCATTTGAATTCATTTAGGTAAAGAAAATTAATTCATCTTGTAAATTATTAGGCATTTTTTAGCTCTTATATGAACTAAGTGTTTATAGATGTTCAGGAATATGCCAAGGATATCAAGAGTAATAAAATGAGTCAGTTGATGAAAATATAAAATAAAATGGCAGAAAAAAAGAGAGAGAAATAATATTTGAATACAATATTTCTAAAGCCATTAGATTACCTTGAAGAGGCCTAAATATTATCTATGGGGTGGTAACTTTTTCTCAATCCATGAGAAAAGGACAGGAAATACATAAGTTATGATTAGTTCGCTGGGCAATGAGAGAGAATAAAATTATGTCCAGATACAAATGCATATCAGGATTATGCAGATCATACTGCACTGTCTTACTGTTGATAGTAATGTGGATAAAAACTCACCTCAGAGTCTGTGACAAGGAGTAAATCGAAGGGAATAGCTGCAACGACATCAATGAGGAACCACCCACGAAGGTAATGGAGAGCTATCTTGCCTGGGTGTGACACTACCTCATCATTATGGTTGACATAGGTGGTGCGAAAGTTGATGACAATGTCAACCATGAACATTATGTCAACTGCAAGAGACAACAGAAGGGGGTCATAACAAAATGAGAACTTTGTTAGTGTAATGTGTTCTTCATGATTACTGTTGTCCATATGAATCATGCAAATGTTGGAAAGAGCAATTAAAGATATGGATCACTGAAGTTCAGTGATATTATATTTTGGCTTGCAAGTGAAATACCCAGGTTCACTGAAGGGGCAGATGGAGACAGGGAGACAGGAGCAACCAATTTTTTTTATCAATGTTTTTCCTGCTTGCCAAGCAATAAATGGGTACCTATGTGTTAGCCAACTGATGTGTGCTACATACCTTAGATTAAGGCTGGAATTTGCAACAAGGTAAAGATATGACAATAGCTCTCAGCCTATAGTGAATACAGGAGGCTTTCAATTGAGCCACTGTTCATTATATTCGGTGCTTTTACTGCTTTTCCACCATTGTCGCACAACAGTTGTGTATGGGAAGGGCGACTGGCATCATAATTTAAGGTAATTATTTTATGTACTGTGTATTAAGTTTTTATTATGCCTAGTTGTATTGAATGCATAATATATGATAGTGTAAACACATTATCAGGCATTTTAGATGCATTCAATAATGAAAAAACACATTTCTCCATCTGCTAACAATTTTTGCTTACTGTACAGGGTTGGAAACCTAAGAGCAGTACAAACCCAATCCTCCTGTAAAGGCATGATGCAGACTATCACCCATTCCAGTGCCAAACAACACATTCGCCCACTCTTCAACAACTTGAACTTACTTAATGTGCAAATTATGCGCTCATACTACTGTAACTAAAATGCTGGGAGCCAGGGGCTAGTAACCCCTTCTCCTGTATATGCAGTGGAACCTTGGTTTTCATTTGCCCTGGTTTTCGTTGAATTCAGTTTTCAACAACTTTTTTCGTCCAAATATTGTCCCAGCTTTCGTTCATCAACTTCGTTTTCGTCCGCCATACCAAACATGTCTATTTGCTCACGCCCACACAAAGCATCTCACGCATGCATTCTGAGTCAGTCTGGCTTTGTTTCTCGTCGAGTGAACATTACCCTGTGCATTCATATGAAACATCTCATAATAATCCATTGTTTATTGTGCTTATTTATTGAGTGCGATTGCTAAATAAGCTGCCATGGGGCCAAAGAAAGTTCCGAGTGCCAGCCCAATGAAAAAGAAGGCAAGAAACACGATAGAATTCAGTGGTGGTAGAGGGTGGTACTGATGGTGGTAGAGTTTAGTAGTGGTTGTGATGGTGGTAGAGGGTGGTAATGATTGTGGTAGAAGGTGGTAGTGATTGTGGTAGAGGGTGGTAGTGATTGTGGTAGAGAGTGGAAGTGATGGTGGTAGAGGGTGGTAGTGATGGTTGTAGAGGGTGGTAGTGATGGTGGTAGAGGGTGGTAGTGATTCAAATTCAAATTCAAATTCAAAGTTTATTCTCTATAAAGATTACAATGCTGAGTTTACAGAATTTGGTTATTGTGTGGTTTACATGTAGTTAAATAATGATTACAGAGTGTACCACTAGAACACCTAGCATGGCTAGGCATTTCGGGCAGACTTAGTTTAATTCTTAATTTTAAAATATTACAAATTATGAGGTAAGTTGGTATTATGGCTAAGTGACTAAATACTAGTTTGTGAGTTTAGCAATGTGAATGCTTTTGTTTTGGCACAGTACATAGTTTCAGTATTGGAGTATCACAAGATTCATTATTTTAAGATTGAGGTTAATATTTCTGTTTATGGTCAAATGGGTGAGTGTAAGTGTGAACCACCAGGTGGTATTCGTGTAGTTAGTTGATGGGGTGTATCAGGGAGATAAGATGTTTTCTAATGGTAGTTTTGAAGGTGATGAATGTGTCTGCAATTCTAGAGTTCTCAGGTAGGGTGTTCCAGATTTTAGGGCCTTTGACATACATTGAATTTTTGTAAAGGTTTAGTCGGACACGGGGAATGTCGTAGAGATGTTTGTGTCTGGTGCTATGCCTGTGGGTTCTGTCACAACTGTCAAGAAAGCATTTTAGGTCAAGGTTGATATCGGAGTTAAAGGTCCTGTAGATGTAGATTGCACAGTAGTAAGTGTGGATGTACTGAACAGGGAGTAAGTTTAGATCTATGAAGAGTGGGGGGGGGGTGTTGCCAGGGATGGGATTTAGTGATTATTCTTACTGCAGCTTTTTGTTGGGTTATTATTGGCTTTAGGTGTGTTGCTGCAGTTGATCCCCAAGCACAAATAGCATAGGTGAGGTATGGATAAATAAGTGAGTGGTATAGTGTGAGAAGGGCATTTTGCAGCACGTAGTATCGTATCTTGGAGAGGATCCCAACCATTTTGGATACTTTTTTGGTTATGTGTTGGATATGGGTGCTGAAATTCAGGTTGTTGTCAAAGTATAGGCCTAGGAATTTGCCCTCATTATGTCTGGTAATTAGAGTGTTGTCGATCTTAATGTTAATTTGTGCATCTCCTGCTCTGCTACCAAACATAATATAGCAGGTTTTGTCAGTGTTAAGCGTAAGTTTATTGGCTGTCATCCAAGTCGATATTTTGATCAGCTCCTCTTTAACAATGGTGTTGAGGGTGGCAAGATTAGGGTGAGAGATGACATAAGTAGTGTCGTCAGCAAAGAGAATGGGTTTCAGGTGTTGGGATACGTTAGGAAGATCATTGATGTATATGAGGAAGAGCAGGGGACCAAGGACACTTCCCTGGGGAACTCCAGTATCACGTGGCCGTGTTGTTGATGCTGTGTCTTTAATGGTGACATACTGATACCTATTAGTAAGGTAAGATTTGAAATAAGCAAGAGCATGGCCTCTTATACCGTAATGGTCAAGTTTGTGGAGTAGGATGTCGTGGTCTACTGTGTCAAAAGCTTTTCTTAGGTCAATAAAAATTCCTAGTGGATATTCCTTATTTTCCAATGCTGTGTAAAGCAGATCTAGCATTTTTATGATTGCATCATTAGTGCTTTTATTTTTCCTGAATCCAAATTGACAGGGATTGAGTATGTTTTGTGCCATTATACCTAGTTGTACTTTAGCTCATTCCAGCACAACACATAGACAACACCAACTTCATTATGAGTATTAGTGACTATACTCTACATGACCAAAATGCTATAGCTATATACTTGTCCAAACTTCCCACCACTACAGATATCAGTACTAAAACTCAACACACAACTCAGGATATAAATAACCATAATTTAAACCTAGAAGATGATTGATCACGTTGACCCTGATCTAAACCTACATAATCTGACACACAATCAAAACCTATTGGAAAGTAACTGCCTTTACTACACAGCATCACAAGCCAGCACTATCCTAAACAATGATAAAAGTCTATCAGTACTTAACTACAACATCAGGTCCTTAAGCAAACACTATGATGAACTCCTGGCACTCCTTGAATGACTAAAGACACCCTTCTCCTGCATTATTCTTACCGAGACCTGGCTAAAACAGGACACAATAGATATCTACCCTCTACCAGAATACACAGCAATCCACAACTGCAGACCATACCAAGTTGGGGGTGGTATTACAATCTATTACTCGAACCAATTATCTTGTATCAGCACCACTTGCTTTAGTGATGAATATGGAGAATACATTTTTGCTAATTTTACTGTAAAAAACCTTAAGACGCCTATAACAATCGGTGCCATTTACCGGATACCCCCACACTAACATCCCAAACTTCAGTGAGAAATTAAAGGCACTAATAACAAACAGACAAATAAATAAGCACCACCTTCTCTTAGCTGGAGACTTCAACATCAACCTTGGCCTACTAGATGATCAGCCTGTAACTGATTTCATCAACAATATGAACAACACACTTCTCATACCAACAATAACTAAACCAACCAGGCTCACTGAAACAAGTGCAACCATAATAGACCACATATGGACCAATATACTAGCCCCCCTTAAATCAGGGATAATCACAGATAGCACTACAGACCACTACCCTACCTTCCTCTTGACAAACATTAGTAAACCACCACTTGAATACAACAAAGTCTCATTTAGACTCCATGATGAGGCCTCAATAAGGAAGTTCACAGCTGACCTAGATACTGTTGACTGGCCTACGGAATTCTCCAAGGCTAACGGTATTGACGACTGGACAGACATTTTTCTTAACAAACTACTTAGACTATACAACAAACATTGTCCTATCAAAACGAAACAGATCACAAACAAACGACTTGGTTGCCCATGGCCAACCAGCACCATTCTGAAATCCATTGACAAGAAACACCAATATGAAAAGCAATATAGACAGGGCTTAATACACAAAGATATTCTTAAACACTATTCATCAGTCCTCACCAAAGTAATAAAGAAAGCCAAACAACTATACTACTCCAGTAGATTCACTGACACAAGAGGAGATATAAAAAAGACCTGGAAAACACTCTCTCAGATTCTAGGGACCCACAAACTGAAAAAAAACAAGAATATTGTCCTAACTAAACCTAATGAAACACCACTGCAACCCACCGACACAGCTAACAAGATAAACGACTTCTTCTCAACCATAGGTTCTAATCTCGCCAATAAAATCCCACGTACCAATGCCCATGCCGGGGACTACCTAGATGGGAATTTCCCAAATTCCTTCTATCTTGCTCCAACTGAGCCCACGGAAGTCAACAAGATTATAAAGTCACTTAAAAATAACTCAGGGAATCTGTCTCATGTTCCACCATTATTGTACAAGAGAGTGGCCCATGTCCTCTCGCATACTATCTCATTGCTTTTTAACAAGTCACTAGAAGCTAGCACCTTCCCGAAACTACTCAAGACAGCAAGGGTTACACCAATACATAAAGTTGGTGACCCTACAGATTTAAACAACTATAGGCCAATATCAAACTTACCATTGCTATCCAAAATCTTTGAGAAACTCGTGCACAGGAGACTATATTCATTTATAACGTCACAAAACATACTCAACCCCTGCCAATTTGGATTCAGGAAAAATAAAAGCAC